TTCACAATCCAGGAGGATCTTATGAGGAGGTGTTCTGAGCTGAGAGTTTCTCTGAGCCAACCTGAGTCTTTTAACTTCCCCATCAGTAACGCAGGACCCCAAGCTCCCTCTGCCCTAGAGATATGGCAAAAAGGCAAGAGCAAAGGTCTCTTGATTCCATTCTAGTCCATCTTTCCAGATTTCTGTACTTCACTTGGAAAACCAGGGCAGAAAGAAGCAAAAGGCTGAAGACTTTAGCCAGACAGGAACTAGAGCAAGGAGAGGCAAAAGAGAGCAGGGGACCCTCGCTCCACCACGCCTATGTTCTCACCTCCCTTTTCTCTCCTTTGGCCTCTCCACTATCCCCCCAACACAAATTGCCTCCATCAACTCCTTCCCTGACCCGGGCTCTGGCTCTAACTAGCTCCTGCCTGGTTTCCCTCCTCAATCCACCTTCATGAGGGCTGAACACAGAGGGCTGGTGAAGGGTGCAGGCAGAAGTCTAAAGTCCCTGTCATTTCTGTTTTAACATGTGCAGAGAAGATATGTCAGTGGAACAAGAATGGCTCATACAAAGGAAAAAGGAGACAGAGAGAGCTTCTGCGAGAGGAAGCTGAGCACAGAACATTCCACACAAGCCTCTTGGACTGCACCCAGCACCTGCTTCATTGCTCTGGCCACTCCACAGAAAGGGGAAATGGGTGGGAAAAGGTTGCCGTCCAAGTTTGAGGGGCCCAGGAGTTCTGCTTCCTCATGACCCAGAGGCCTTGCCTTTCTCATCCCTCTCTCCTTCTCACCCCTACCGCCAAATACCAATTGGGGATGACAGAAACCAGTGCGTATCCAAGGAGCAGGGAACTGAAGAGGGCCCTGTCTAAGGGGTAGGCTCAGGGGAAGAGGTCAGAGGGCAGGACGAATTCCTCCAGGGAAGCCATTGAGGCCCGGGGCAAGGCATTCCTCTTCAAGGTCAAATCAAATACCTGGGTCACCCTAAGCCAGGCATGCTTCTTAACATCCTGGGGACCAAGGATGAACACCTTTTCCTTCCTCCAAAGCTTGGTGGATCTGGGATGCCTGAGATGGACAGGGCTTATCCATGGCTTTGGCTGCTGGGTCAAGGCCAGGAGCAGAGAATAAAAGAGAAAAGGGCCCCTGGAGGTTACTGAGATAAGCTATTCTTGAAAAAAAGAGGCAGTTTCCTGTGGAATGCTTGACTTGCTGACAGGTGGCAGCTGGGTCAGTGCTGGGTCAGCCCAGGCTCCTCTTCCTCTTAAGATCCTCCAGTCTGTGAAAGTGGGGAACACTGAGGCTCCCCAATACCCTTGCTTAGGAACTTCGCCCCCTCCCCCTTACTTCTTCCAGCACTGGCACCCAAAGCAAACTCTTAACTGCTCTACCTCTGCCCCTCACTGGGCCCTCCCATTTTAACTTTCTTTTGATACCAGAGACCATAGAAATCTGATAAATCTGACTCAGCCACTCCCTCCCACTATTACTATCAGCCAGGATGAGGTAGATTCCCAAGCTACCCCCTAAAATGCCACTTCCTTCTTCCAACACACATTGACCAAGCGCTTTTTACACTTGGGCACTGTGCTCGCCGCGGGGAGTCCCAGAGGCTAAGGGAGCGATGCTCCTTCGACTTGACCTTGAGTTTAGCCTGGGACACACGGAGGCGGGCACTGTAAGGGGAAAGGACTGAGGTCTCCTCGCCAGCTCGGAGCACCTCCTGCCCCGGGAACTCGGATCCCGGCAGAGCCCGGTGGAGCCGGGGCGGCGCCAGAGGCGCGGAGCCGCCG